AGAGATAAGATAGGTCCCCTTAAAAATAACTATGGGCACCTTACTGACAATGAGAATGAAATGTGCTTGATTTTAAATAATTATTTTCTCTCAGTTTTTACACAGGAAGACACTAACAATATTCCAGTAATTAATTTTTACAGTGGGCTAGAAGAAGATAAATTATGTAACATCACAGTCACTAGTGAGATGGTTGTGAGGCAGATAGACAGACTGAAGCAAAATAAGTCGCCGGGTCCTGATGAGGTTTTTCAAGGGTTCTTAAGGAATGCAAAATGGAACTCTGTGAACCATTAACTAATATTTTTAATTTATCTCTTCAAACAGGTGTAGTGTCTGATATGTGGAAGATGGCTAATGTAACTCCTATTTTTAAAACAGGGGACAAGTCGTTACCGTCAAATTACCGCCCAATAAGCCTGACCTCAATTGTAGGCAAATTACTAGAGTCAATTATAGCTGAGATTATAAGAAGCCATCTCGATAAGCATAGCTTGATTAATGATACTCAGCATGGATTCACAAGAGGCCGGTCTTGTCTAACTAATTTATTAACTTTCTTCAGTAAAGCTTTTGAGGCTGTTGACCACAATAAAGAATTTGATATTATTTACTTAGATTTTAGTAAGGCTTTTGATAGAGTTCCGCACCATAGACTGTTAAAGAAAGTGGCAGCCCATGGCATTGGGGGAAAAGTGCTCTCGTGGATCGAGTCATGGCTCACTGACAGGAAGCAGAGAGTGTCCATAAATGGGGTTAAATCCGAGTGGGGATCTGTAACAAGTGGCGTTCCACAGGGATCAGTCTTGGGCCCGTTGTTGTTTATAATATATATCAATGATCTTGATGAGGGAATTACTAGTGATATGAGCAAATTCGCCGATGACACAAAGATAGGTAGGATAATTGATTCAAACGTAGATGTTAGGGAACTTCAGGAGGACTTAAACAAACTCTATTCTTGGTCAGAAAAGTGGCAGATGCAGTTCAATGTAGATAAGTGCAAGGTTCTGAAGCTTGGGAGTGCCCATAACCCTAGTACTTATAAATTAAATGATGTAGAACTTAGCCATACAGATTGCGAAAAGGACTTGGGGGTTATGGTGAGCAGCAACCTTAAACCAAGACAGCAATGCCTAAGCGTACGTAATAAGGCAAATAGATTACTGGGATTTATATCAAGAAGTGTAAGCAACAGAAGTCCAGAGGTCATACTGCAGCTTTATACATCATTAGTAAGGCCTCACCTTGATTATGCAGCTCAGTTCTGGTCTCCGTATTACAAAATGGACATAAATTCGTTAGAAAACATTCAGCGTAGGATGACTAAATTAATACATAGCATCAGAAATCTTCCTTATGAAGAAAGATTGAAGACTCTTAAGTTACATTCACTTGTTAGACGAAGAATGAGGGGAGACCTGATCGAAGTGTATAAGTGGAAGATAGGTATTAATAAAGGGGATATTAATAAGGTCTTGAGGATGTCTCTCCAAGAGAGAACCCGCAGTAATGGATTTAAATTAGATAAGTTTAGATTTAGAAAGGACATAGGAAAGTATTGGTTTGGAAATAGGGTAGTTGATGAGTGGAACAGTCTACCTAGTTGGGTTATTGAGGCTAGGACTTTGGGTAGTTTCAAATCTAGTTTGGATAAGTACATGAGTGGGAAGGGTTGGATTTGAGTGGGACTTTCACATCAGAGCTTATTTCTTGGGTAGCATTGAAAATTGGGTTGGGTAAATGTTTTATTAGTGGGATGAATTGTAAAGGACCTGCCTAGTATGGGCCAGCAGGCCTCCTGCAGTGTTCCTCCTTTCTTATGTTCTTATGTTCCATGAAGCTCTCCTTAATAAAACGATACGTTGCCTCAGTGGTTCGTTCTACATATACATTAGAAATTTTAGCTACACTGTGTATATAAATAACAAAAATTGATGTTATATTGTCTAGGAACATACAAATAATCACAATTTTTTAGCTAAAATTTCTCTTTAAACTACCTTTTACGGATAAAAAAAATGAGAAAAAATCTCAAATTAGGCTTTTTCTTAAAGTGATTTTTGACGGTGAGTAGCGAGAACCTTTGGCAAGAGCGAGTAAAAAATAGTTATCCTTCTATCTCTTCAGCATGGTCGACTGAGATCAAAATTATCTGTTGTAATTACAAGTTATTTTTCTCAGCAGTGACTGTTGTTGTCTTCCTCCTGAATGACGAACGGTTGATTGTGAAGCTGGTTCGGTTATAGATGATGGCCGGCCATGAGTTTCTTTATTTACTACAGCGTTTGCGGTGCCATTATTTATTGTGTTGGTGTTGGTGTTATTGTTGTTAACTGTAGAAATCGTTTGTCTCGTGATTATGTTTTTCTATTCGTCTCTTTCATCTTCTCCAAATGTTTCTTCTCTTCATCTTCTTACTAAACGTAATATTTTATTTCCTTTTTTTTTTGTAATCATTATCAATTTCCTAACTTTTCTCCCACCTTTTTATTATTCCTCTTCATCTTTTCAGCCTTGTTCTTCTTTCTTCCTTTCTTCCTTCATTCTCGCCTTCCTTAAGACTGTTTCCTTCTGAAGTAAGCTCATAAGCGACTCACTATTATTAAGACTTCGCCTCTTATTGTCATGGGAACACAGGAAAGAGCCAAAAGTCATAGTAATGTTACGAGAACAACACTCTGAGAAGCCCGTCTGTTGTTGAAGCTTAAGAACCTCATGAAAAAGAGGGAGAAAAAGAAGGAAAAAAGATAGAAGACATAATAATAACATATAATAATAATAATAATAATAATAATAAAATGCAGTTCTTGCTGGTCTTTTCTTTATTAAATACAGAATAATCAGTGACAGTTATAAAACAAGAAATTTGCCAAGTTTGGCATATTTTGCTAACTCAGAGGTGCATCTTATATATATATATATATATATATATATATATATATATATATATATATATATATATATATATATATATATATATATATATATATATATATATAAATATATATAATAGTGCCGTGTGTAACTTTTATATAGATATACAGAATATATATTTTTTCTTTTTTGAATTATCAGGTACATGTGAGGGTATATTTGACATATGTGCTGAATTTCTATAAAAAAAACTACAGGACTTTTGCGAGAACACTGACACACACACAAGAAGCAAATATCAGTATACGTGTAAACAAGCTTAGAGGGGAGATACATGTTTCGTTGTAACGGGAGGGTAAGTGAACGTTATAATTTCGATACTGAGTAGTGAAAGCTTTCGTGAGAATATGAATAAGGGCAAATCAATTTGGTGTCTTGATAAGGCTTACTAAGGCTCAAGTCTGGAGCCAAATGTTGTCTAAGAAAAGGGCCAACACGTTGCTAGTATTGGCAAGAGGTATATACCAATTATTAGTGTTAGGAAGTCGGGGTATATACCAATTATCAATGTTATCAAGGGGTAAGTAAAAATTTGCAGTGCTATAAGGGTTATATACCAATTATATCAATGTTATCAAAGGGTATATACTAATTTTTAATGTAATTAAGGGGTATATACCAATTATATCAATGTTATCAAGAGATATATACCCATTATTAGTATATGCATATACCCATTATCACTGTTATCAAGGGGTATATACCAATTATTAGTGTTATCAAAGTGAATATACCAGTCATTAGTTTTAACAAGGAATCAGGCACGGTGTTATAAGGCACTTGTCTTCCCTACGAAGCACTTTTGTTTTTGCTCATTGCAAAGGCACTTTCGTAGAAAAGAATGAAGGATAGATAGAGCTGTTCACAACCACAGTACAAGGAAGGCATTTGAAGCTGTCAGAGCCAGAATCACACACTTAAATGGCGAGAAAAAAATATATATATCTATATATGTATCAATAAATTAAGAAAGAAGACTGTGTGATATATCTTAATACTATGAGATGATAAATGACGATGGATTCCATAAAAAATGGGGGTATTGAAAGCTAAATTATAATGCAAATTAAAACTTAGCTTGGACTAGAACGTAAAGTGAGTAGAAGAATCAGGTCAGACTTGGCTAGGGGCTGTGAGGGAGGGTGCAGGGAGGCTGTGGCAGTGTGCTGTGGAAACTGCAGTTGTGTCTGAAGCTAGGTCGAGAATAAATTGAGATAGGTGAGTGATTTTTACCTGCAAAAAGTACCTTACACGAGAGAGATCAGACCCAAAGGTTTGTAAAGAACTCGAGAGGAAAGAATGAGAGAGAGAGAGAGAGAGAGAGAGAGAGAGAGAGAGAGAGAGAGAGAGAGAGAGAGAGAGAGAGAGAGAGAGAGCTGATGTAGAAAACAGCTCTTAGCTTGTAAATAGTTAGGAACCCTAAACCTAAAATTGTAAAAAACTCTAAGAGAGAGAGAGAGAGAGAGAGAGAGAGAGAGAGAGAGAGAGAGAGAGAGAGAGAGACGAAGATGAAAGAAAAAATAAGAGGTTGAGTAAGGAAGTAAGAGGTACCTCTTTACATGGAAAGGACAAGTAATTCTTCCTTCCCTAGCTAAATGTTGTGTACAGTTACCTTGCACAGAGTTGTCCCTGGTGAGGCTGCAAGCAGAGAACTGATTCTTCCTCACATGGAGACTAAGAATCTAATTTGCATTCTTTAACTAGAGTGTAGGTAAATAAACGCCCATTCATTCTCAATTAACATTACTCTGATGGGGGGAAAAATCTATTTTTAGGGACACAAATAATCAAATAATATATGAATTTGCTGAGTCCAAATTGTGAAAAAGCTTTAATTGGAACAACGTTTCGCTCTGCGTAGAGCTGTATGGAGGCAATATTTTCGCTCTGCGCAGAGCGAGACGTTGTTCCAGTAAGAGTCTTCTGAATTTCTAGTCCGAAACACAGTATTTACTAGCGAAACTTGATGAGAAAAATGAATGTTTTACATAAATGTTTGTCTCTTGTCAGAAAACGCTAAGTGAATGTGATCACATTCACTTACAAGAGTGAGTGAGCTCTCATTATATCTTTTTTTTTTTTTTTGAAGTCAGGCAGTGCAAGTTTCCTGGGGATTTTTTGTATTGTAATTACAATATCGTTTAGGAACTGTGAAATATTTTGTTTTTTTTCACACCAATGTATTTCACTCATCGGAATTTTTCAACGCCAGTTTTTTTTTTCTGGAGGATAAGTCACAATTTTTTTTGTTTATATTTTTTTTCGTGAAGTGTTTCGTAAGTTTTCCTTAAGTTTTGTAACAGCTGCGTTTGTATTTTGAGTCGTGTGTTTATATGAGCACTTTTCTTATTCACTTGTACTCCCATAGTCGTTCCACAGATCAGTTGAGAATCCACACGCCCATCGAAACGCCCGCACGCCCATTCAAACGCCCGCACGCCCATTCAAACGCCCACACGCCCATCGAAGCGCCCACACGCCCATCCAAACGTCCGCATGCCCATTCAAACGCCCGCACTCCTACCCTATGGTTGGATATTGTGCTGCCACCATGCCAAGGCTTCCAGCAGGTCTTGTTCCTCCCGGCCGTAGTTCCTCGTCTCCTCACCCTCGCTCTTGATGACGCCCACGCCCACGCCCAGGGAGGAGGACGACGATGAAGACGGCGAGGTGGTTGAAGACGACAGTTTGTCGTTGTAAAAGGTGTGCGCGGGGGACTGTCCTTCTTCAGAATCCGATGGAGAGGTCCTCAGAAAGGCTCCAGCAACACCATCGTATCTACGGAAGAAAAATGAGACGTTACAACGATTTATAGAGCAGAAAATCGCTGTTGACAAAGACTACTGCACTACATCATATGAAGACTTCAGACGCAGTGAGCAAAGAGGAAATGAGTTGGTGAGAGCAGTGTTGTCACAAAGGCGAGGCGAAACCTGACCTCCAATTGTAAATTGATTGTCGCGTTTTGCTCCAAGTTTTAGCGTGAATATGAGTTAATACATGTGTGTGTGTGTGTGTGTGTGTGTGTGTGTGATAAACACGGAAGGAGACACTAAGAGCATTATACCAGTACTACATCGTAGAGATGGACAGTAATACCAGAACCACCGGATAAAGAGAGGGAGAGAGAGAGAAAGCAGTGACAGTACTACAAGAGAGAGAGAGAGAGCAGTGACAGTACTACAAAAGAGAGAGAGAGATTATTATCAGTAACAGCTCTTAGCTTGTAAACAAAGATAAGAACCTTAACCTTGTAAAACCCTGTGTAAAAAAAAAATACTGTGTGTGTGTGAGCGAGAGAGAGAGAGAGAGAGAGAGAGAGAGTAATATCAACATCACTAAGAGGGAAGCAGCTGCTGTATAAAAAACAGCAAATATAAATAGAAGTAACTGTAGCAAGTAACTCAACACCGGAACTCTCAGACGCAGGATGAAGTCACATGAAGTATATACTGAATAAAGACGCAACACCGACCAATAATAAAAGTCTTCCCCACATTGCATATGTACCATATGTATGCAGCGCTAGTAAATAAACGAACACCAATCATGACTCTCAACAGGGTGTCTCTGAGGGTATTATCCACGATGTAAGCCATGGATGAGAGGTGAGAGTCGCGGCTCTCACTACCAAGGTCTAGGGATCAATTTCCCGACCGGAAAAGAGCAACATACGATAGAGAATCCTGCTGGAATATGTATTTCAGGAATTAAGAATTAATTCCTGAAATACATTAAAAAAAATTCAGTTTCAGCACAGATGAAAAAAATATGTTATTCTCATGGGGAGCGTTAACCCCTTAATGAATATATAGCTCATGGAGTGGGGGAGTGTTGGGAATGGAAGGCATTCAGGCAACTGGAGCACAGACCCAATTCCCTAGATCAAGAGCCCCTTACCAGCATCAAGGAACCTCCCTTGAGGGGAAAAAATACGTTCACATGTTCACAACATTCAAAATTCCTAGAAACGAAAATGAGAAAGTAAATAAAGAATCTGCAAAGTGTGGAAGCAGGAGAAAGGGAAAATGGAAACTAAACTCACAAATGAACCAAGGAAATCTAAGACAAAACATCTTCAGCATGAAGGAAGAGAATTTATCACTAGGAAGCTGCAAAATCGGTACATATATTTACATATAAACACAACAAAATCCACGAGTCTGGGGGTGTGTTACACTCTGACTACTATTATTTAAGTCTCAATAAACACACACACACACACACACACACACACACACACCACACGGGTAAAAAGCACACGGGATACATTTCCCAGCCACCGACGTCGACAAAAATCCTCTGAAAACAGAGTTTGCAAGACAATACACCGTGGTGGGGAACTCACCTGAGGGAGGCTGGTGACTGGAAGGTCTCATCCACCACAGGAAGCTTCAGGATATGCGACTCTATAGCAGGGTGGGCCTGCAAGAACACCTGGGGATGTTGATGCAGCAGCTGCTGCTGCTGATGGTGATGGTGCTGGAGATGGTGTTGGTGGAGGTGGGTGGCGACTGGGGTGGGCACGAGTGAGGGTGGCTGGGTGGTCGGCGGGTGGTCGTCCAGGAGCAGCTGGAGACCACGGATGTAGTCCACGGCACAACGCAGAGTCTCCACTTTGCTCAGCTTCTTCTTGCGGGCGGCCTGAGGAACGTGCTGGCGAAGAATGGCGAACCCCTGCGACACCTGTGTGTACGAGAGGGAGGTAGAACGAGTGATCATGCTTAGGTAGACCCTAGCAAACCTCTACGATATCTGTGAACGAGAGGGAAATAAAATGAGTAGTCATGCTCAGGTAGAATCCAGCGAACTCCTACGATGAAAAATGAGACACTTGTGCAGCATTTGGGTATCATTACTAAAGAAGCGTTTCGCTGGCCAGTGACTTCTTCAGTCCATTACAGAGAAGGGTGGAAGATGAAAAGGATTTTGAGGTAATCAGTCTCATTCCATCTTGAGATGGAGTGAATATTGATGGACGGAACACATCGACTCCAGTATTAGGGACTGATTACCTCAAACTCCTCTCCATCTTCCACCATTCTTCTCTGTATTGGACTGAAGAAGCCACTGACTAGCGAAACGAAATGTTGCATAAATGTGAAATTCTTCAACTTGTCGGTTTTCTAAACCATTTGCAACAAAAGTCCTACGATATCCGTGAACGAGAGAGAGAGAGAGGTTATATAACGCCCTGTTGGACCTCCCTTGAAGGGGTAGGAAACAGAAATAACAGCAACGAAAAATGATAACGCGAGATACTTGTAAACAAAAAAAAAAAAGATAGAGAGAAGAGAATAGAGGAGAAAACAAACGACCTTGAAGCACAACCAACTTATGTGGAACGTGAAGAGAGGTCAAGTAACGGAAGACAGGAGGGAGAAACACTTCTGCTGCGAGCACTAGATAAGCTGAAGTTAGAATGTAATGATACCGACATTACGGATGACAGGACAAACTTGCATAACAGCCAGTATTTCAACTTTACCAGTTTCTTCCACAGAAAAAAGACAAAGACCAGAAATCAGTCCAGATTTTTCCCTCTAAGATCTACCAGCCTTTAAAGCAAATATTTAGGACTCTTTCTGACTCTGTATTTGGATAGGTGACTCTTTCTGACTCTGTATTTGGATAGGTTTCATTTGGAGAGACATAGGTCTCCAGGACTGAACCGTATCCAGTAAAGTGTCAACACTTGTATCATTTCATCCACAACATCGTTGACTTAAGAAATTACGATTGCGAACAGCTCACGGAACAGGTGGATTTGGAACCCATGACGAGACAGCCTTGATACTAGGAGGCTGATGCTCTAACTGCACCATGCCGGCCAGATAAGGGTCGCCCAGCTAGGTGTAGTTCTTAACACACTAGGCAGGTTCGCATGGGCCCCACTGTAGCGACACTGCAGGTCACAGTGGAAGGAAGCCAATGCTTAGGTGAATTTTATTAGACCAGCAGCTGCAAATTGAAACCTAGTATAACAACAGATAGGAGATGAGAAGACGGAAGAGAGGGAAGAGAAGAAGATGCAAGGTTAATAGTTCATCACGACAGTAACTTGCTTGGCAAACACAAAAGTTGAGACACAGTCAATGGGCACATTTTGTGCATAAGAAAGAAGTGAAAGACAAACATCAAGAGTCCTTATAATTTATATGAAGGTTGTTGAGAATTAATGGAGAGAGAAAGAAAGAGAGAGGAGACTTTAACCCACGTGTTGATGTTGATATTTGAGCCTCTTGGCAACACAACGAAGTCTTCCTTGATACAAGAGCTGAAGCCATACTGGCATTGTTACACCGTTGCTCTGCTAGCAAACGGGGCTTAAGACTTTAAACAACAAAGACAGCTTTTTGAATGCCTGTGTAAATCTCACAGAGAAACAGGAAGAGGAAAATGAAGTGAAGGACCCAGGCGATGAGATGAGAGAGAGAGAGAGAGAGAGAGAGAGAGAGAGAGAGAGAGAGAGAGAGAGAGAGAGAGAGAGAGAGAGAGAGAGAGAGAGAGAAGAGGACTGAAATGAGAGAGGAAGTAGGTAACAGATATTAAAAAGAGAGTCTGAAGGAGACGATAACAAGAAAAGAGATGGATCAAGGAACGGAGGGGAAACAAAAACAGCATTTTCATTTCACCAAAACCAGTGCCGAACGCCAATAGCCTGACCGATCAGAGACCAAGCCTCCATTAGCGGACGGTGACTCGAACCTCCACATCAGAACCAGGAAAGACACAGGCTGAGGGAGACGAATCCCTGACTGCTAAAAAAAAATCCATCAGCTCAAGACACACTTTTATCATAACAAACAATATAATAATAATAACAAATAACAGTAGCCACTCACGAAAATAACTATTGACAAACTTAAATGTTTTGTATATTCAGAGGGGGGGGCAGCGACCCCCAGAGGCAATAAACGAGATGAAACATGTTCCCGCACCAAGAATTGTGGGATAAGAGAGACAAGTGAAGTGTAATGCCATCTTTTATTGATAATGTTTCTTACACCATACGTCATACCACAGTGATCCATGGCCACGGAGCTGGCCACAGTGATTCATGGCCACGGAGCTGGCCACAGTGATCCATGGCCACGGAGCTGGCCACAGTGATTCGTGGCCACGGAGCTGGCCACAGTGATTCATGGCCACGGAGCTGGCCACAGTGATTCATGGTCACCGAGCTGGCCACAGTGATCCATGGTCACCGAGCTGGCCACAGTGATCTATGGTCACGGAGCTGGCCACAGTGATCCATGGTCACCGAGCTGGCCACAATGATCCATGGCCACGGAGCTGGCCACAGTGATCCATGGTCACCAAGCTGGCCACAATGATCCATGGCCACGGAGCTGGCCACAGTGATCTATGGTCACGGAGCTCTCCATCGTGATCCATGGTCGCGGAGGTGGCCACAATGATCCATATCCTCGGAGCTGGCCACAATGATCCATGGTCACGAAACTGGTCACAGTGATCCATGGCCACGGAGCTGGCCACAGTGATCCATGACCACGGAACTGGCCACAGTAATCCATGACCACGGAGCTGGCCACAGTGATCCATGATCAAGGAGCTGGCCACAGTGATCCATGACCACGGAGCTGCCCACAATTATCCATGGCCACGGAGCTGGCCACAGTGATCAATGACCACGGAGCTGGCCACAGTGATCCATGGCCACGGAGCTGGCCAAAGTTATCCATGGCCACGAACCTGGCCGCCGTGATCCACGGTCGCGGAGGTGGCCACAATGATCCATAGCCTCGAAGCTGGCCGCAATGATCCATGGTCACAAAGCTAGCCACAGTGATCCATGGTCACGGAGCTGGCCACAGTGACCCATGACCACGGAACTGGCCACAGTAATCCATGACCACGGAGGTGGCCACAATCATCCATGACCACGGAGCTGGCCACAGTGATCCATGACAACGGAACTGCCCACAATGATCCATGGCCACGGAGCTGGCCACAATGATCCATGGCACGGAGCTGGTCACAATGATCCATGACCACTGAGCTAACCACAGTGATCCATGACCACGGAGCTGGCCACAGTGATCCGTGACCACGGAGCTGGCCACAGTGATCCATGCACGATTGCGGTAACTAGTGATATGGTTCTCAGACAAATAGAGAAATTAAAACCTAACAAATCCCCAGGCCCTGATGAACTGTTTGCAAGGGTGTTAAAGGAATGTAAAGAGGAACTTAATATACCTTTGGCTAATCTTTTCAACATTTCATTACAAATTAGCATAGTGCGTGATAAATGGAAAACGTAATACCTATTTACAAGGCAGGTGATATGTCCTTAGCTTCGAACTATAGACCAGTAATCCTTACCTCCATAGTGGGAAAATTTATGGAATCAATAATTGCCGAAGCAATTCGTAGCCTTCTCGAAAGACATAAATTGATTGATGAATCTCAGCACGGTTTTACAAAGGGGCGTTCCTGTCTTACAAATTTACTAACTTTCTTCACTAAGGTATTTGAGGAGGTAGATCATGGTATTGAATATGATATTGTGTATATGGACTTCAATAAGGCTTTCGATAGAGTTCCACATCAGAGGCTATTGAGGAAACTTAAGGCGCACGGAATAGAAATTTTTTTCCTGGGTTGAGGCATGGTTGACGAATAGGCAGCAGGGAATTTGCATAAATGAAAAGAAATCAGAATGGGGGCACGTCGCAAGCGGTGTTCCACAGGAGTCAGTGTTGGGCCCCTTGTTGTTCACAATCTACATAAACGACATAGATGAGGGAATAAATAGCGACATAAGCAAATTTGCTGATGACATCAAAATAGGCCGTCCAATTCATTCTAATGAGGACATTAGAGCACTCCAGGATGATTTGAATAGACTCATGCAGTGGTCGGATAAGTGGCAGATGCAGTTTAATATAGACAAATGCAAAGTTCTAAATGTTGGAAAGGAGAATAACCATGCCACATATAAACTAAATAATGTAGATCTTAATATTACGGATTGCAAAAAGGATTTAGGAGTTCTGGTTAGTAGTAATCTAAAACCAAGACAACAGTGCATCAGCGTTCGCAGTAAAGCTAACAGAATTCTTGGCTTCATATCAAGAAGTATAAAGAATAGAAGTCCTCAGGTTGTTCTTCAACTCTATATATCTTTGGTTAGGCCTCATTTAGATTATGCTGCACAGTTTTGGTTACCGTATTACAGAATGGATATATATAGGCACTGGAAAGCGTACAAAGGAGGATGACAAAGTTGATCCCATGTATCAGAAATCTTCCCTATGAGGATAGACTAAGGGCCCTGAATCTGCACTCTCTAGAAAGACGTAGAATTAGGGGGGGGGGATATGGTCGAGGTGTATAAATGGAAAACAGGAATTAATAAAGGGGATGTAAATAGCATGCTAAAAAATATCTAACATAGACAGGACTCGCAGCAATGACTATAAATTGGAAAAATTCAGATTCAGGAAGGATATAGGAAAGCACTTGTTTGGCAATAGTGTGGATGAGTGGAACAAACTCCCGAGTGTGATGAATGCTTTGGAAAACCGACAAGTTGAAGATTGAGACACTTATGCAACATATGGGAATCTTTATTCAGGAAACGTTTCGCCACACAGTGGCTTCATCAGTCCAATACAAAGCAGAAGGTTTAAGGAGAGGAGGAGTATGAGGTAATCAGT